AAATCTGACCCAGGAGGCAAGATGTTACAGAGGGCGGGAACCACAGCAGAAAAGGCTCTTCTTCTGGATCCTGCCAGCTGAAATTCCATGGATGAAGGGGTCCGCAGCATGTCCCTTCTGCCAGCATGAGTGGGGCAAGCTAATCCCATTGGGAGGGGGCAATTTCTCAGATAGCCTGGACCCATGTCATGAAGGGCTTTTTAAAGCCCGTGTTTTGCATTGTTTTCATATACTGTAAGCTGCCCAAGTTGCTATTTGAGATGTGTGGTTATATAAATCGGATGGATGGATGGATGGATATTGCTCAGCTATACAATAAGGAGCCCACTGTATCCAAGCACTCTACGGCATTTGTTAAGATATGATGCTGAGCAAAGGAGATATCATAGCTGTTTTTTGGTGCATTGATGCCAGAAAAAAAATTATATTGCAGAAATAGCTAAGTAGAGCAATCCACTTACCCCAGTTTGAATGTGTTTTGTATAAAAGCCCACAGAGTACTGATGTCCAACTCCTGGGATATTCTGCAAGACATATAAGGTAGAGTTACACTTCACATAGGTATGGCACACACAGCACAAACACTCTTTAAAGTGGCAGATCATTAAAAAAAAAACCTATGTAGGATCTATGCTATACTCCTGTTGGGTATGGCTTTTCTATGATTTCAGGAATCTTAGCAAAACTGTATGCAGTTGGGATGTCATGAGTCTTTTGTGTTTTGTGCCTATCATTCTAAAAAAAAAAGATATTTCAGTAGTCTCAAACAGGTCCTGCATTAATTTTGTAATGAAGTTAGAATGATGAATAGCTAATGTAAGCATTTAAATCTATGTAATGAAGATCCATCATGTATTTGTTCCCTACCAGTTTTAGCTTCTGAAAAATTCCTGGAACTTTGTATTCAAGGAAGTGATCTCATTTTTACAGACTTGTGTAATACTTAGGATTGCTTCAGCATTAGAGTACAGAGAGTCCTTAACTTACCATCACAACTGGACCCGATTACTGGCCGTAAGTCATTATGGTCATAAGTCAAACATCCATGTGACCAGATCTCATTTTATGTCATTTTTTTGTGGCAGTTGTTAAGCGAATGATGGCAGTCATAAATGCAAAGCCGTTCTTCTGAATGGCCTTTTTTTGCCAGAAACAAGAAAAAAACACAGCAAATTGCCGTCAATTGCAGTCACGTGACTGTGGGATTGAGTTGTAAATATGAACTAGATGCCTAGTATCCAAGTACAGTCGTGTACATTTGGGTACTTGGGGGCTCTTTGTGTGGCATGACGTTTTAGGACAGCCAGAAGTGCTTTGGAACCATAAAGCACCCATTGCAGGCCTGTTGTAATTTTGAGCAGTCATTTGTATTGACCAACTGGTTGTAAGTCGATGGCTACCTGTATAGTCAAATACATCCAAGAGCTGTTAAATTTTTGCAAGAGTTAACAACAGGGATTAGCAGCTAACTCTGCCCACAGTCTGGATTTCGATCTTGATGGACTCAAGGTTGACTCAGCTTCCATCCTTCCAAGGTTGGTAAAATGTGGACCCAGATTGATGGAGGCAACATGCTGACACTGTAAAACCACCCAGAGAGTGCTGTAAAGCAGGGGTCTTCAACCTTGGCCACTTTAAGACTTGTGGACTTCAACTCCCAGAATTCCTCAGCCAGCTTTTCTGGGAGTTGAAGTCCACAAGTCTTAAAGTAGCCAAGGATGAGGACCCCTGTGGTAAAGCACTATAGGGTGCTATATAAGTCTAAGTGCTATTGCTATTGCTATCTTGGAGACATACATCTGGAAAAAAGTAGTCAAGTGACTAAATCTACCTCCTTTACTCAGTGCAGGAAGCCAGAGTGTGGCTGTCTAGCAATCTTGAGCATATCTGCAGAAGGAAAGCCTATGACTATCTCAATTCCACTGTCAAATTGCTATGTCAGAAAGTTTTTTCTAAGGTTGCATCAGATCCTGCTTTCCTGTAACTTAAAACCACTCTTCTATGCCCTGTACTCTGGAATTGAAGAACAGCCATCTATGGGCCAGCCTTTCAGATATTTGAGTATAATCTGTTTCTGTTATTGTTCAATACACTGTTTTTATTTTGGATGGTGCATTTGATTTGTAACATCTTAATATTAATTGTTTTAACCTATTGTTTCAAATCACAAATGCAATTTTTATTTAAAAAGTTTCTTTTTATGTGAAAGAGTATATAAATATTTTAAATACTCAATGTCTTTTCTCAAGGGTAAACCATTTCTTCAATCTCTGTTCAGGTGGTTTATATTCTCGTGCCCTAATCATCTTCAGTACTCTTTTCCTGATCTGATCCAAATTTCCCTGAATTCTTCCTAAAGCGCAGTACTAGATCTGGGCACGGTATTTCACATATCATGATGACCAAAGCAGAATTATTACTTCTCGTTATTAAACTTCAATTAATGTAGCGTAAAATTGAAAATAATGAGGAGTGGACTCAAGATTGATCACTGCAGTATTTCATTTACTGAAATGAAAATGGTATTTGTCAAATATTCAGTCCTGCCTTTTCAGCTAATCACCCCTGCTTTTATGTGACAGTCCTGTTGTGAGCATTCCAAAACAGTACCCACAATTGCAAGAGCTGCTTTTGAAAATTAAAAATGTAAAGACACTCTCAAGTCAAGCTTATCTCCTGGTGACCACATCCATGAAATTTTCCCGATGGCATCACTCAAAGCTTTCTTTCATTTTTTTCAACTTGTCAATCCCATCTAAGCCCTGGAACTTCTATATGGTTTCCTATCTAAGCATACTCAGAAATGTCCTTGCTTAACTCCAGAGAAAAGTGAAGGAAACTGTTAGTGGCAGTTCAGTGGGTTTGGCTTATGCAATCAGATTTCCTCACAGTGGAAACAATAAAGGGAAACCCAGCCCAGATTCAGCCCAAGAACAGTTATAGAAGCAGCAGATTTAATCTATTGCAACAAAATCAGTCCAAGGTCTTGAATCAAACATTAGCATATATATGGCTGTCCTATGTTTGGCTTGCTGGGGATGCAATGACTGAAGAGGAATTGTCTTGGGTCGTATATAAAATATATAATATAATTAATATAAATATCGCTAACAATCACATAATGCTAAAAGTTTACGGTCTTGTAGGGGTTGTACTGAGGTTCTTCTCTGGGTTGAAAGAATTAGCCGATGACATCACCGTTGCCTGGGGGATGCCCAGTTGGGGGCTCCTTTCATGTCCCTGGCAGGAGCTGGTGTGAAGGATGGGTGCTCACCCCGCCCCATGGCAGAACTCTGGCCTCGAACAAAGTCCTGCTGCTTGTCAACCCAGTCTCCTAACTACATGAGCTACTGTGCTCCTTGTTTGATTTCAGTAGATGCACCAAAATAAAACAACTTTTTTAAACACATGAAATGAGCCGAATAGTATTGTGAAGACTATTTTGGAGAGATCAAAATTCTTTCGCGGTCAGCCAAGAAACATAAAATAAAGCAAGGCTCACGTCCGCCGAGTTTTTCTACGCCAAGCAAATATAAAAGATACAGAATATTTTTATAATTCCCAACAATTTATGCAGAACATGCATCAAAGAAGCAGCTGAAACTCAACAAGTATTTTGAACGCATAAAACTGTAGTGCATTTACTTTTTTGTTTTAAATCAAGGAATGGCATTTTCTTCAGAAGAATAACTTCAGTGCACATTGCATTCAAAAGCAAACATCTGATGAAAAGGAAATTTTAACAAATATTCTCTTTCAGTTTTGGCCAGGCAGTAAAGTTTGTTTTGAAAAACATTTCAGAGATTGCTTACTTTTATCTTTTCTTCTTCTGTAAACATAAGAGATAAAAAGAAAATATCTCAAGGTCTTTGCTGCCTGCTTAAAAATGTTTCTACAGACAGTTTATATAATATTGTGTAGGTTATTGCAAAATAAGAAAAGATACACAGGCAGAGATTACAACATGAAAGTGATTTTAAATGCAACATTTCTTAACCATCCAGATAAAATTGACACTTAGACTCTGATATTTTTATGAAGCTGGATATGAAGGATGGAGATATGACTAAAATTCACAATTATTTTTCTGATTATGGTCATATTGTATTAACCCGTAATGAAGTCCACTTGGTTGGGGTTGGTATATTTTTGAATCCAAGCAGTAGCAGTTTAAATCATGATTAAACAAACCATAGCTTAGCACTATGTGACAACCCATCTTTCCACCCTCCTACTTTCAAATTACAACATTTTTGGAAGATTTAAGAAACACTAGGGACAGTCTACTTCATGTTGACATCACAATATTGCTTTACTATAGTTTGCTGAATAAACACAATGTATAAATTTAGATGACAGTTTCATATTTGCTGTCTCTTACTGGTAGGGATATATGTTTCTAGAATCCTAAGAAGGTAGAGTGTTGATTTATTCTGCTTCTACAAAACCTTTTTTTTTTCCTGGACAGAATGGAGACAGAATTACATTAATTACATTTCCAAATTAAGTTTAATGCTTAAAGTTTAATTTTTCCCTGTGTTCCAACTATTGTTTAATCAGCAATTAATCAGCAAAGAAGAAGAAAAATAAGTGACTTACTGGCTGAAAGACTAATCACGCTGTTCAGCTTTCCCCTAACTAGTCCCTTTTAGATCACTGTTTCTCAACCTGTCGTTAAAATTCTACACACCTGAAATTGAGAGTTTTAAGGGATCGGTCGTAAAGATAATCTTACACAATCCGGTTGACACAATTAATCTAATGTTGAGGAAAACCGGTCCCATCGACCCTTAAGACCTCAAGATTACCCACCTTTCTCAAGTTTATTACACTGGTTGGTCCATACTTGGGTCTAAATTCTTGATCCACATCTAGCTTTTAATAAGCTGTGGGAACTGGTCCTAAGGTGACTTGTCTAGAGATTGTGGTGACTCACCTAAAATCTATGATAATGTCCACCCATTCAGGATTAAAATAAAATAAAGGATCCTTTATAGGTCAGTAGTATTACCAGTGCTTAGGAAGTGTGGAGTTCTCAGGGATGAAGCGCAGAATGAAGGAAATGCCATCAGTTTGGGTTTATTGCTTCCAGTTCTATTCTATTCATGAAGGCTCATCCCATTATGGACCAGTAAAGGATGCTGGCTGGTTTTGATAGTCCTAAGATTTTATCTGAGCCTGTAGACTGTTTGGTGTGGAGTCAGCAAGAAATAATCACCTCACTTGCCTTCTTACCTCTAATCTGCTGAAAGCCAGATAGGACTAAGATTTTAAGATTAAATACCTTCAAGAAAAAGACTTCTCTTTTCCAGTTAAATGGTGGGTGGTTATCAATGTAATTATTTTATTTAAATTATTGGTCACCTAACTCTAGTGGATTGTGGGTGGGGTACAAAACCAGGGAAAACATTTAAAAAATAATATAGTTTTTAATATCACTCTACATGTTGATAGTAATTTATGCAGTAAATTATTGCAATCACTGCTGTTAGCATGTTTATTCTATTTTAATGTTGTTTTGTTAACAATGGTAGCCACTTAAAAGCTCAGATTTAAACATGATTTTCATCAGGTGACAAAAGTTTCTAAGTCTTACAAAGTACTCTTTTCTGCCTTAGCCACATTCAGTGCTTTTTTTCTAAAAAAAAAAAAAAAGGTGGTGGAACTCACACATGTCATACAACCCGCCTTGCCTACCCTACAAGGTTCCATCCAAAAAAGGTGCCGTAACTCCGTTCTGAGCGTTCTATGAGAAAAAAAGCCCTGGCCACATTCATTTCTAAACATATCACAATGTTCTTCATGTAAGAACTCCGTTATTTGAATAAGCAGAGGTGCTACTCTCCCCCCCCCCTTCTCCATGCCTATTCTCCACTTACAGAACCATGTTGCTTAAGACTTGCAAATGAAAAGTCAAACAAGGGCATTTAAGCCCCCCACTGATGAGTGGGTACAATCCTTTTCAAGGGCACTCTGCATTTTCTCAGTAGTGGATTCAGCAAGGTAGTCACCCCATAGTTATCTTACATATTAAAAAAAATTGGATTGGAAGAAGATAAATCTAATTTTAAAACTGAAGGAAGAAACAACCTGTGGTATGTTGAAGACACTCTCTGGATAGCTGTAAATGCAAAGGATCTGCAAGCTCTAGTAATAAAAGTCAAGGGGCACAGTAAAAAAGTAAAAAAATACTGAGCCAATGACAACAGATAGAACAACCAGCCTTAAAACTGAAATGGAGATATCAAAGTAGTTTATCTTTTAGGATCAACCATCAACAGAAAAAGAACAAGCAATATTGTCAAGAAATATGCCACATACTAACACTTGGTAAACCAGCCATAAAGCCTTGGAAAAGATATCTAGATGCCATGATGTACCAAAACTTTATACACAAAGATCAGAATCATGCAACTGATGGTATTTTCTGTGACACTCACAGATGCAAATGGAAGTCCATGTGGAAGCAAAAATTGGGACTTTGAAGAAGCAGGATAAGATGAGTATTGGCCCTTTTGAACTTTGGTGTTGGAGAAGATTCTTGGACAGCTAATAAAACAAATGGATTAACAGCCCAGAATTGTCATTAGAGGCATCAATGACCAGGCTCAAATTATCCTACTTCAGACACAATATGTGAAGATCTAGTTCTCTAGGAAAGGATCGAATGCTTGGAAGAGTGAAAGGAAAGACAACCAGCAACAATACAGCGCACTGTTGAAAAACCAAGTTAGGGACAGATCATCTTGGAGAAACTCTTATCTGCATGGTAAGTAGGATTCAACACCAACTTGACCGCACATAACCAATCACAATCTCTAACTGGAAAACTCTTCTTTAATAAGGATTCTTCCTTCCTATTGGGTTGGTGTTGGTGGGGTTTGCTGTCACTAGTTCAACCTCAGCCATACTCCCCAAAGTGATCTCCCCCTCCCAATCCTGTGTGTGGGACTCTCTTAGTTCGTCTGGGCATCAGATTGTCAGCTCTGTCTTTCCCAAAGAGAAGTTTATGCCAGGCTAGTCAGATGCGGTTTGTCTTTTTCAGGCAGCCAAACATTACACAGAATTCTACCAATGAACGAAATCGAAGTTCGTTTGGGGGAGTGAGGAGGGGGAGAGGGTTAAAGAGACCAATTTTCCTAAGGAAATATACCGGACGTTGTTGAGCAATGTTGGTAACTTGGTTTTCCTCGCAAATTCCTCGAAGCAGAAAACAGAACAACCGAACTGGAAAGGGACCTTTGAGGTCTTCTAGTCCAACCCCCTGCTCAAGCAGAACTGATCCCAATCCGGACAAAAGCCAGTCTTTAAGAGATACCTAAGGCTCCTTTTCGCAGCCCCCTCTTGCAATTTTGGCGGCGGGGGGGGTGGGGGAAAGGGCTGTACGTAAAGAAACTGGTCCAGTGGGAAACACGTGCCGAGAGGATTTCCTTCCCGGCCGCCATTAGCTCCAAGGCGGGAGCTTGGACTCTCTTTTTCCTTACCTACCCTGACCGAGGTCTTCCCGAGGAACACGACGCTCCGGAGATAGCTGGGCGAGCCCTGATGGTAGTTGAGATACTGGGTGGCCGTCTGGGCGACCCGCATAAACTGCGACTGGGGGGCCTCGAACTTCGCCTGGGGAAGAGCCGAGCAGAACACGGGCAGCAGCAGGAGAACGACCGCCGCCATCCGAGCCATCCTAGCGACGAGACCGGGTGAGGGGCAGACGCGGAGCTGGACCGGCGCGGGCGCCACCCAGATTCAAGTAGCGCCCCCAAAGGCCCGGCCCCTCCCTGGCCAGCCTCCAGCCCCGGCGAGGAGGCGCCCTTCTGGGCAGCGCCCCCTCCTTCCTCTCTGGCCCTTCGCTGTCCTTTCGCTGTTCTCTTACCCCGAGCCAAACCGAGAGCGGCTCTCCACCCACGGGCGATCATCCCCATCTCTCTCCCCCCCCCCCAGGAATGGAGAAGACAGGCTGTGATGCTTTAGTTTTCCCAGCAGACTTTCCCCGGCCAGATGCTCTCCAGATGTGTGCGATTTGTACGTCCAAGGTTCTTATTTGTAGCCCGGTAAAGCAAGCGCCACTTATCCCTGGCCCCTGCTTGAAAGTGCCACTAGCTCGGCGTTAGAAGCTCACCTGCCTGGTTCTGATGTCGATCTTTTTATTTTCCCCAAAGGAAAACTTTAGAACTTCAAATATGCCTTCCTTTTTTCTCTCATCTTTTCTATTTCCCTCCAGGTTTATTATTATGATTTGTGTTGCACAGCCAACCAAATATTTAGAATAGAATTAGAATTAGAATAGAATAGAATAGAATAGAATAGAATAGAATAGAATAGAATAGAATAGAATAGAATAATAGAGTTGGAAGGGACCTTGTAGGTCATCTAGTCCAACACACACACACACCCCAAGCAGGATACCCTACACCAGTGTTTCTCAACCTTGACAATTTTAAGGCATGTGGATTTCAACTCCCAGAATTCCACAGCCAGCATTGCTGGGAATTCCACAGCCAGCATTCTGGGAGTTGAAGTCCACATGCCTTAAAATTGTCAAGGTTGAGAAACACTGCCCTACACCATTTCTGACAGATGGCAGTCCAGTCTTTTCTTGAAAGCTTCCAGTGATGAACCGCCCACAATTTCTGAAGGCAATCTGTTCCATTGGTTGATTGTTCTCACTGTCAGAAAAACTCTCCTTATTTCTAGGTTGAATCTCTCCTTGATCAGTTTCCATCCGTTATTCCTTGTCTGGCCTTCAGGTGCTTTGGAAAATAGGTTGATCCCCTCCTCTGTGACAGCCCCTCAAATATTGGAACCCTGGTATCATGTCTCCCCTGGTCCTTCTCTTCACTAGACTAGCCATGCCCAGTTCCTGTATCCGTTCTTCATATGTTTTAGCCTCCAGTCCTCATCATTGGCATTTTTATCCACCTATTCAGACCTTCCCAAGGATGACGATGACGATGATGATTTAAAATTCAGTTTGAAATAAAACCCAGCTGAAGTTCTCTAGTGTATCTAATATACTATAAATTTATAGAAGATTATTGTTTGTGCAGTTTATTTTCAATTGCTTTCCTAAAGACCTTGAGCATGAAATCTCACAGCCATTTTACATTGAGGCTACATACCTAACTTGTGCATTATTCCCCTATCATGGAATAAGCCCCATCCGGATAGTAGCAAATGACATGGCATCATTTCTATGCCTCTTAAACCAAAACTGATTCTATACAATTGGACCAGATAGTGTATTATATATATCATATATGTTGTATGAAAAGCTGTTTTCTGTTTGGCCAAACATCATAACTATTTTTTCCTCACAGTCTCATCACAGCTGCTCTTTGAACATTTCAACAATTACTTTTCTGGGGCAGTTGACCATAAGTCTGTAAAGGGTCCTCTTGGATGAGGATACAATCACCTTCATGCAAGAATCTGGATGTTGAGTCATGACAACTGGACTTCTTTTTTTGTTGGTTCTGAAGTAGCTTCTTTGGTCTTGATAAGCAATGAAACGTTTGAGCCAACAAGAAAAGAAGTCCAATTGACATGACAACTTTACCTGGATGAGACTGTTAGAAATAACCGAGGTACGTTCTCTATGTCTACACAGAGTTTCTAGAAGGTATAAACGGAAGACCGACAAAGGACGGATTTTTCTCTAGAGGTCTCTTGGTTCCTCTTTAGAGTTCGAAATACACTGGGTTATTCTACTTAGTCCAGTTACCAGGTGAATTATCAAAGGATAAGGTATGTAGTTGTTTACGGAATGCAAGATCAGCAGCTTGGGCTTCTGGAAATTATTTTATGGTATTTTATGATTATTTTTGCACATGGTCTCTTATGTATTTGTTTACCAATGATTTAATTAAGTTTAACTCATACTTCAAAGTTTTGATTCTGTTTTTTCACTCCCTTTCCTTCCTTCCTTCCTTCTCAGAAAAATATTTAGCAATATTATGACAAGCAGCTTACCTCATAATGGCTAGCATATGTTTTTCTAATTCTGCAGAAATTATTCGGACAAAATCCAACATTTTTATACCTTCTTTGTCACTGCATAACTAGATTTTGTGGAATAATGTTTTTTCAAAGTCTTCTTTGTTGCTTTTAAAGTCATTCATAACTTCTTTCCAAGATGCCTGCTTTTCTTTCTACTGATTTCAAACAGAATAAAAAAAAATTCTAATTTGCTAAAGAAGAACAGACATTAATCAATCCATCTTTGGAGGATCGCTTACATATTTTAAATATAAAATAAGTTGTAACTAAAGAGACCTTTCATTTTGACTACACTTTTGAACAGCAAATGCTGGGAATAAAGAACAGAGCAATGGTGTACATATATAGTATGTGTGTGGACATTCCAACTATATTTGGATTGTTACATTTAAAAAGGAAGACTTTGATCAGAATAGATTTTGGAATGGAATGGAAAGGAGTGGAGTGGAGTGGAGTGGAGTAGAGTAGAGTAGAGTAGAGTAGAGTAGAGTAGAGTAGAGTAGAGTAGAGTAGAGTAGAGTAGAGTAGAGTAGAGTAAAGTAGAGTAGAGTAGAACAGAACAGAACAGAACAGAACAGAATAGAATTTACTTACTCATACTGTTCTTCAAATGATTATATAAACAACCAGTTCTTATGAGACAAGTTGCACAAACTCCGGTCCAAGAACAAAAATAATTCTGAATTTAGTGTCATTTTTATGATGCAAACTTCATCTGCTTATGTGGATTATAAGAACATCCATTCTAAGAATGGAAAATATATTGGCTTCTAAATGCAAAAGGACTCGTAAAACAGACAGAAGGATCTAGGGCAGGAAGAGTTCCAGCACTGATTGATCAGATAGTGTGTGTGTGTGTGTGTGTGTATATATAACATTACTAAGAATTCCAGGAAGATCTCTTTAAACTGGATGAATCAACTTTAAAATAGCATTTACTATTTTAAGTAATGTGCCTCAGATGAGAACTCTGGACTGATTTATTCAATGATCCCTTGGTTTGTTTTCTACAGTATTCTTAGGAATGTCCTCCCACACCAAAGTTCAAAAGCGTCAATGCTCTTCCTATTCTATTTTTTTTTAAGTTCACATTTTGCTTCCATAGTGTATCACAGAGAATATTTTGAAAACCTTTTTTAAATAGGGAGCTTTTGCCTAGCTGAGTGTGGGCAGACTTTGCAAACTACACCTATTTATCTAAAATTAGGCACATTCCATAGATACATAATTGGAACATATACATATTCAGGATTGTATAATGTTGAGCCATAAGAATTTAAAGAAAATCTGATAGCCCCGCCACATTTTAAAATGTTGTCATTGTATAATTTAATAAGTTAAAAGAAAAGCATGTTCTCACTTCAGGATGACTCATTAAGATTTTGAAATCACTAAAAAAAGATTTCAGTTAGAAAGAAGATAAGGGGAAACTAAGGAAAAGGGGAAGGACCAGAGGATCTTTTAACACAAAAGATCAGTGAGAGACAGGAACTCACAAAGATTATCCTCTTTACTGCGGTGATCAGATAAACTAGACTTTCAGAAGTCAAAAAAATTCTGGTGTGTCAAGATTCTTTCAAATTTAGCACCGGAAGAATTAGGAAAGATTAGTTGTGTTGTGTATATACATCTGTGCAGCATAATTAACTGATAACTTATCCTTCCAGTATACAGAGCACTTGGTGATTACGAGTCACTGTTGACTCTTAACTCTTGGCAATTATCTGGACAAGTCCCTGCAGTTTTCTTGACAAGATTATGAAAGTGATTTTCCATTGCTTCCTTCCTAGGGCTAAGAGAGAGAGACTGTCCCAAGGTCACCCAGCTGGGTTTATGCCTAAGACGGGACTAGAACTCACAGTCTTCTGGTTCTAGGCTGATACCTTAAGCACAACACCAAACTGGGTATCTCTGTTCCCCTTGTGTAAGCTATTGCAGTGTTTCTCAACCTTGACAATTTTAAGGCATGTGGACTTCAACTCCCAGAATTCCACAGCCAGCAATGCTGGCTGTGGAATTCTGGGAGTTGAAGTCCACATGCCTTAAAATTGTCAAGGTTGAGAAACACTGCTATAGAGAAACGGAACTATTGCAAGAGGCAATAAAGCTCACTTTTCCCCCCTCCTTCGCTTGAGGTTTTTCTTGTCTGAATTCAGTAACAAAGGAGCTTCTCCTGTGATTTTCTCAAGCTGGTATGAAGTCTTTCCTTTTAACCACATAGTTTATTAAATATGAACACCCACTTGACATGGGACAATCTAGCCCCAAAACTGTTTTTTATTTTTTTCTCCAACTGATTCTCAACTCATGAAAGAGATTGGCTTATTTTCTTAATAAGTTTTAATAGTTTAAGTAAATGTTGCATTTCCTGTTTAATTTTGACTCTGATGACCAGTTGGATGGTCAGAGGTGTATTTGATGTAGCCTTTCCTTCTCCTCACTAATCAGCTTCAATGTAGTCATTCCTCTGTCAGCTTTTGCCCTCTCCATCAGCAGTTTGTTTCATGAGTTTCGTACCCATTACCTATTTTATTCTTTTAGAGACCAAGGAAGAGGAGACAACAGCAGAGTTCCACTATTTTATTTGAGAAAGAAAAGAGATGTGCTTCTGCTTATTTGCTAATTTTCTTGTATTCACCATTTTCAATCAGGTTTTGTTCCTTAAGTAAGGGAGGTGGTTGATTGCTGCCTTAGCAAATAATCAGTTTCATTTCTCCCTTTGTACAACTTCACTGG